GCGGGCGAGTGGGTGTGTAACTAACCCGGCAAGTGGAGGATAAACTCCGTTGCGCTGTTGCTCCGGTGTGCCAGGTGTGCCAGGAAGTTTGTCTATGCCAGTTAAGCAAACTTGCTCGAAGGGGCTGCATAAAGTTCAAAGGGCGCACGGCCGAGCTACAACAGTGCTAAAGAGAATTCCAGATGCCGCAGCCAATTACATTTTAATACGTCAGTTAAGTACGCTCTAAAATATGCAAACAATGGAGTTGGGGTCGGCCCGTTGGGCTGGCCGAGTGTATGTGTGTGTAGCACAGGAAGCGGGCTTAACTGAGCGAGCGTGTTAAGCAACTGCTCATTAGCGGCGCTTACATGAAGCTATTAATTCAATTATTTACACTGCGACATCGCTGGCAGCTGACACACACACGAGGCGTATAAGTAATGTCTAATTCCGAGAACTCAGCCATTCCGGCACGCCGACAGCGAGCGCAACACTTGCGGCATTCTCTGACGGGACGAAGCTTAATTATGCGTAATACGCTAAGTGTAATTGGCGTCGCTGCAGCTGCAATGTGACACGCCGGCAGGACTATTGTCCCCGCACGCATCTGGCATGCATATCGAATGATAATGCTCAACGGGCATTCCGGATTTATGCGCTTTGTGGATTCAGCGGGCCATTGTGGTGCTGCATTTATGAGCATTTCATTAGCTGTGCATTTACATCTCAATGCGCCTGAATTGTGCTGCATACACTCAGCACCAACTGCGCCGTCAGCACATTGCCACATGTGATCTGAGAGATACGTGTGCGTGTGTGTGCGTGTGCGTGTGCGTGCGTATAATTTAATTTGACAATCGTGATATAAAAACGAAATGCACAATGTGCTGTGCAAAACAATCAAACGTGACAGCCAAACAGTTCAGCGAGGCCAAAAAGAATAGACTCAGAGCAAGCAAAGCCTCAAATAAAGAGACCAATCCCCCATAGGGAGTGGCAGACTAGAAAATACTCTGCACTTTCTATATATTGCTATGCTAATATAATATGTCTATGATTAAGTATTAAGGCCACATTAGATTTATCACTTGTATCAACACGTGTGGAAATACAGAAATAAAAAATATGTAATAATAAAGAGAATTTAATTTTACTCTTCAAATTTTTATTAGGTAAAACCCATAAAAAAGGCAAATAACAAGACGTGTTGGAAGCGCTTTTGCCCGAGCTCAAAATCGTTAGGGGTTAAATAGTTGTTTTTGTTGCCTAGTTAAACTAATCAAAGGCAACGACATTCTGTTTTGCGGTCTAATGCCAGAGACACACAGACAGAAAGAGAGAGAGAGAGAGAGAGAGAGAGAGAGAGAGTCAGAGAAAGGGAGAGTTTGAGAGTTTGAGAGAAGCAAGAAAGCTGATTTTCACTTTTAGATTCAGGACACCAATGCAGGGCGTTGACGCCCGTTTTGACGCCCGACGCTCAACTGTAAACTGATTATTAGGCTGTCCCAAAATAGACACAGACCCGTTTAAACTGGTAGCCACAGTGGATCAAAAGCTGAAACATTCTATGTCTGAAGATCTTGAGAAGTATTGAGCTATATAGGGACATGCTTTAGACACTTTTGAGTGGTATTACAATATAATATTATTATAAATAAAAGATAATAAATCATATAAAATAATCAATAATTATATAAAATTAATATATGAGAGCAAGTAGATTTCAGACAGAGCTGTCAACCTGTCAATGGCATTCGCTTAATGCTTGCTGCTGTTCAAAGGCTTCAGCTTGTTTTGAGTTAGATTCCACTGTGCAAGGGTTGAAAGGGCGAACAGGGCGAAGCTGCGGCAAAGCAAGTAGCTATCTATCTGGCTGAATGTCTGCCAGTTCATCAGTCTGTCAGCCAGGCTCTCTAGTTGGCTGTGCGTGTGCATTTGTATGTATAGCAATTCGTTTGAAATTATTGTACAAAATGGCAAAGGTCGCATGCGTGGCGATCCTTGACGCATTTGATTAGCCTTTGGCTGTGGCAGCCTCTGCGTCGATTTACGACATCGAAATGCTGCCAACGCCAACCTCAGCGTCCGCGTCCGCGTCCACGTCCGTGTCAGAGCCAGCGCCAGCGTCTGCACAATTGTATTAGCGTTTCGCTATTTGTTTAAGCATATTTGTTTTTATTTTTATTGAGCTTTAAGCGCCAACTGGCAGCGTCATCGCGTCCTTGGGCTGAGGTCATACGCTGCGTATAAGTAACGTCAACAGTGGCTAATGGCCAGTGTCAGGGACGGAAGTTTCCATGGCTGTTGCTGCAGCTGCTATTACTTTTGCTGCTGCTGGACTCCATCCAGAGTTGCAGATGGAGCTACAGCTGTTAATTATCCTGCTGGCGAGGCTGCTTATTACGTTAATGTCTGGTTGCATTTCGCGCATGCCAGTAGGCAAGCAGCCGGCAATTGCCAGGACAATGCGAGCACATGCCAGAACACGTCCGGCTGTCTTATCAATGCAAAATGTTGCCTACGTGCCCCGGCACGACTATAAAGTGTACCACAGCAATCGTATTCGCACTCGTAATTGCCAACCAACCAGCCAGTTGGCCAGCTAGCAAATGGCTAACGTCAGCAGCATTGTCCTGGCTTATCCTGCTGCTGCTGCCGGCAGTTAAGCTAATTAAAGTGCACACAAATTTGAATTATCTGACGCCTTCAGAGACCATTTTTGGCGCCATCGATATTTCAAGCCAAATGGCCAGCAAATGAAGAATTATCTTCGGCATCATCAGCGCCGATTTGTAATGAAACGAATGCCCGAATGCCTGTCGCATTTAGCTGTAGACGCATATATTTATTGGGCCCCTTATAAAAGTATGTTTGAAGTAAAATAAATTGCGCATACGCAATGTGGCAATTTATGCGGTTAACATGCAAGTTAATTCAGCTTGAGCAGGCTTCAGCTGAGAAATCACAGCTGCTATCATTCGAAATGAAAATGAAACCCGAATGAAATGAGCGAGAAGTAAATTAAATATATGTGCCATGTGTGCTAGCTAATGAACTGTGCCACAGAATACACAAAACAAATAGTACACAGTCTGCGTGCACTTGCCACGTGTGCACCATTAAGAAATTAATAATTGAATAAATAACTAGAGGTCAATACTCGTGTTGAGTGCTGATCTTTGCTGGGATAGACCAAGAGTAAGACCTCAAAAGTATTTTGAAGCAGAAAAGAAAACATATTAATGTGAAAGTAAAAGTGTAGTAAATTTTATAATTTTACACGCTTTATTTGTTGTCTGGGCCTGGCAGCCGAATTATTGTCTGATAGTTTTTCCAAGAACATCCCAGCTACATCATCAGCAGATTTCATTATGGACTACTGATTCGATTCACCTTTGCCTTGCTACTCTCAGCTGTCATTCAACATTGGCGAAGTCTGTTGATGATAGAACCATTTGAGAATTATGTGGTTGCAGCGGTTGCAAACAGAGCTAATGTCAATGAAGCCAGCTTCCAATGTTTGCATGTTTGCCCAATGGGAGACGACTGTAAAGAGTAAAAGCGTCGCCCTCCAAGAACTAAGCAGTGGCTAAATAAATTTAATTTTTATATTTTTTTAAACTACTTTAAAAATGTATTCAAAACTCAGAAAAATAAAATAAATGAGTTTTAAAGGAAAGTCTATAAAAGGAAAAGTAAATTTTTAAAAATATATAGAAAACTAATTCTGAATGCTCCACATTTAATTTAACATATAAGGGATATAAAGTTCTATACGACAAGAAACGCTTAAATAAAATATTTTGAATATAAATAAGTACATAAAAAAACATTCATTCATTAATTTTAATTGCTTCTAATATCGACAATATATTTTTTGAAAAATAAATTAACATTTAATTATTTCTTAACATTCGAATGTATAGCTAAACAGCAAATCAAATAAATTCTACAAGTAAATTTGTAGTCAGTGTGATGTTGAAGCATAATTTAGAATCGGGCCCAAGGCAGGCAGTTAGCTTAAATGGCCAACAGAGCTGATTCTCATAAAGTTAGTTACTATCTAAGCCTATCTCAAGTGTGCAATTTCTTGAATGTTCTCGGAATATCTTATTGCTTTAGTTTAAAGCGATTTTATGCATATGCTCAAGAGTTCTCTGTCATGAAACATTGTTTTAAGTACTCATTTTTCCATCTTATCTGTTACTTATGAGTGTTATATTTCTTGGTTGTTCGTTTTCTGTTTTCTGCTTTCGGTTGCCACTTTTTGAGTTTTCAACACTTTTCTCTGGCGTTGGTTCAGAATGCACTTCGAGTATTTTCCTTATCTTTCTTTGCTTTCTTATTTTCTCGAATTTGTATTCATTACCCAAGCAGTCTGTGGCATGGTCTGTGTCTCGCATGGCCTTCTGCGCTGCTCTGCTCTGTTCTTTATCTTCTGTTTATTTATTTGTTTTTATTTTCATTTCGCAGTCAGCTCTAAAATATCAAATAAGACCAAGAGCAAGGCAATGGTAAAGCAAAATCCAGAGCCCAATGCCTTTGGTGGTTGAGAGAAAACCCCGAAGCTGTCGCTCACATATTTGTCGTCAGTCCAGGCTGTAGTTGTGTCCTTTTGTGTCGGGTTCTTGGCTTTGGCTATTTTTAGTTCTAGTGATTTGTTTTGCCTACTATATCTGCCCGGCCTATCCTTTCGCTCATGCCTTTTGTTATTTTTGCGGTTTGGCACTTGCTAGATGCAAATTTTTTTAGGCTCATACAAACAGAAGCCTTAACCATACATGACCCAAACTTATGTCCCACCCGAAACTGAAACCGAACGCTCCTCCAGGTCTGCTGTCTGTTGGTCTGTTGGCATTTGGCCTGGGACCCCGACCAGGCTACCGAGATGTGGTTTGCATGCCGACCGTTGGCGTTAAAAGGATTAGAATGTCTGAAATGGACTTGTGGCATTCCTCGCAGCCGCCTCGTTTGCGGCATTTCAGTGTGCGTAGACCAATTGCAATCTCTGCACTTACCTTCACAAAGTGATAAAACAGCACGGCTCCCACAGTGGACAGAGCGAACCAGACGAATACCGCAAAAGTTGAGATATTGGAAATGTTCAGCGCATGCAGCAGATGCGAACTGACAATGGCTGCCGCCTGGCAGAACAGAAATGGCATAAATAGTCGCTCAAAGATGTCCCACGGAATCTCTGCCGATTTCTGAGGCAGCGCCGAAATCGAGCCACGGCGTAATGAGGCGCGACGTGAGGCACGGCGCTGCAATAAAAAAAATATAATATATTTAATATGAGTCAAGTGGAATACATTAAAAGACTGTGTTAGTTTTAGTCTTTTTTATTTGTACAAATATAAATATAAATACATTTAAGTATGCTATATTTGACTAGATATAAAAAATGCAATGGTTTTGTGAGTTTTATAAATATAAAATAGAACACTGAATAAATTAAATAAATATTTTATATATAATATAAATAAAAAAATAAATAAAATATAAAACAAAAAAAAAATATATATATATTTATATGTATTATATTTATGTCTTATATTTAATTTTATTTTTTTTTTGTTTTTCAAATACTTAAAAATACGAGAAACAGTGTTTTACAATTACACATACAAATATTTCAAATTTACAATTTTGTATCTGTTTTGTAAAATCTTAGATAATTAATAATCTCAGTATCACTAACAATCCATAAAACGTATATTCGCATATGTTAACTAAGATAGACACTATATGGAAAATGGCAAAGTTTCATTATTATTATAATATTAAAACGCTTTTAATCTATTTTGGTATTAGCTTAGAAACATAAAAGTCGAAAATTGCATAGCCAAATTGACAATAAGCAACAAATAGAAATTATTTATTTTTGCAGTCAGACAAATATTTAAGAGGATTTCTGTTCGCAATCGAAATGTTTGGGCCCCATGTGATGGGTAAATTGTGTTGTTTAATCAATTGCAAATATTTGTGTGCACATTATAAAAGCAATTGATTTTGCTCTTTTGTTTGTGTTTTTCGTTCAATAAACAATGCGCTTTTATTTAAATTATACAAGCTGTTTGCTTCTCCGACGCGTCATTAATCGCGCAATTCTTTGCGGTCTACGCGCGCGCAAAATGTTCAATTGTTTACACAGAGATTAGTGTCACACACATACAAATGTTGCTAAATGTTTATTTATTTGTTGGTATTCGAACGATTGTCGTAAATTATTGCTACAACAAAGCATTGCCCTTTGATGACATAACAAACATTTCCATTTTTATTGGCTTTAAGTTGTCTATAAAATAACATTTATTAAATGATGTGTAAGATTATAAAATCATTGTTTTTATTTATATCAAAATATTTAAATATGTTTTTTAGTTATACCTTTGTGTTCTGCTATGGCCACTTCAAATAAAATTATACTTAGTATACATTTATTTGACGTGAGTTCTAAATCTTTACCGACCACCTCAAGTATGACCAAAAACTTAAAAATTTTTTTTTAATTAGATATGACAGCTTTTCTAGTTATAACTGCTACGCTTTCAAAACATAATTCTGCATACAATATATAAGTTATATATAATTTTCCGAAACATATTTACAGTCCATATACAAGTGGCTTACGAAATTAGATATTTTTAATTGTTTCTTGTTCTTAATTCTTCTTTGGTCATTGTTCTCTGCATAAGTATGGTAAGCCAGTAATAAATAACCATTTATTTTATATATACGAATTCTTGGATTTATTGAAATATTCGCTGTGGTTTATTAGACTCTTAAATTCTATAAATAATCTAGCTAATCTTTGAGATATTTTTTCTGGCATAGCAGCAGTTCAGACAATAAATAAGAAGCTAACTAAGTAGACAAATATGTATTCGCTCTTAATTTAACTGAAAATCAATTAAAATGCGAGCAGGAATTTACCTTTGGTAATTCATTTAATCAACTTGTTGACATAAATTAAAAATAAATGAGAATAAAATTCATAATAATGAAAATATTTTTACTCCATTTAATTACCGCTAAAGTAAACTGCAAATGCAACTAAATTTCGTTTAAGTTTTCCTTTAAACTATTTAAGTGTAGTTTATGTAAGTGACATTAATTTTGCACAATTTCCATACAATGTTTGGAAATTCGTGGAAAATGATTGAAGCCCATAAAATACACTTAATTACAAAAACAATATGTGAATAATTAAAATGAAATGATTGAAAGATGCAGGGCGAGCGTTTAATTGCATAGGTAGAAGCGAACCGCAGTAACCTAACTGCACGTCCGGTTTGCATCTATCATGACCGCACCCACACATTGACATTGACATATAGCAATTACACTTGACATATGTGTGTGTCCACATGTGTAAGTGCGGTCGTAAGGGCGACCCAGACCTGGCTAAAAGGCGTCCACGCCCATAAATCAACGACTGTGTGAAATAATCAAATGGTGGCATCTGCATAAATACGGCCAATTGATTTATTTGCACGAAAATAAACCAATTCTATAGCTGCCTTTTGGCCAAATTGTAAAATGGTTTGGCTATTTTTACACTAGCTCGAAATAAATTGAAAGGAAATCAACTATTTGTGTTGTTGCCGCTGGTGTTGGCGTTGTTGTTGTTGTTATTATTGTTGAGTTTGGGCCAAACGCGACGAGTACATCGTCGTCGTCGTCGTCGTCGTCTTCGTCATCGTCATCGTCATCGTCGTTTTGCTGTTTTGACCTTGTCACCAATCTTAACTTTTCTTTCATTTTCTTGCTTTCTCTTTCGTGTTTGTGTAATTACTGAGTTGATCCATTAATCTAAATTGTTAACGAGCTGCCCGGCTATCCAGCTGCTTCTTCTTCACTTTCGCAACGTGTGGCAACGCTGTGGCAATAATTTTTTATTTTCTCAAATCTGTGCGTATATTTCAAAACTTTTGCTTGGCTTTAAGCAAATATTTGAATTTATTATGCTTGATTTGTCTGCTCAGCTGCCAGCAAAATTTCTAGTTTCAGTTCCATTTCGATTTTTTTATGTTTTTTTTTTTCTTTTTTGGAGGGGGTTCTATAAAAAAAATTGTGAATGTTGTGCACGTAAATCAGTTTGGTTTGTCGTCGAATCGGGCCGGGCAGGGTAATATTAATAGGCCAAAGATATGGAAATATTTTTAGCTGTGCCGCAAAACAACATCGTTGTGTGGGTTTCGCATAGAAGTACTTCCAATCGAAAATTCTGGCAAAATATTTCGGCAAAAATACTTTTCAAAATTGAGAAATTTGGGAAAAGGTCCAATGGAAATCGTTTTACGACTGCACAAATGGTTCAGTAATTATTTTATTCACTTGGTTGAAGCTCATAACATTAAGTACAAATGTTATGGTTGCCTGCAATAGATCTTACAAAGAGCCGATTAGAATTCACCTTTGATCTCAATATGAAAGCCGTGAAAATGCTCAAATTTTTACATATATTTCTCGATTATTAACTCACAACTAAAACAATGAATGTAGAATGTGAAAATGCTAAAATCGACCTAAAATTCAAAAGCAAAATTTATATGAAAAAATTCTGTAAGAATCTGATTTACATTTTATAATATATGCGTAAAATCTATTTTGAGAACTGGAATCAAAGTTCTTTACACGTAGTAGAGTCGTAAAATATATGTAAAAATTATATTAAAAATATAAAGAACACGCACTCAGCTACTGGTAATAGCATATCTAACATACCAAGTGATTAAAGGTGAAAGCAAGAATCTTAGCCAAAAATCTATATATGCATTCTGTTCATGTGTATATAGGGATGCAATTTTATGGCGCTCGTGATGCTTGGCAGCTGTTGACCCAGTTGGAACTTGGCCATTAAGTGAATTTCTGTAATTAATTTTATGGAGAGCTTTGAGGACCTCAAGACTCGAGACTTCGGGATGTTTGTTAACAAACTAGAACGGCAAACATTTGGCTGGCCACAAAGGGGCGTGGCAGCCAAATGCTTGACGTATTTGTCCATTGTCATTTCGAGGTTAAGCTAACTGGGCTAAGTGTGGCTAGGTACACAGTCACCGTGCGATTGCCTGATTTGGCTGACTGGCAATCAATTTGGCTTTCGGCTAATGCAAACAAGTTTGGAAATATGTTCTACTATAGCTTACCATATTGTTATCGAAGACCTGCATGGTGGCTGCTGGTGCTGCTGCAGCGGCTGTTGGGGAATGAGATGGAGGAGAGGTGACGTTGCTTAAATCCTGCTTATACAATTTGCTGGTATTTTGTTTGCCAATTCACTCACTTTCACGGCGTTGCTTATTATATAAACTCAATTAGCTGCAAGGAGCTCGATGCAAGAATATTTCAAAAAATATTTCAAAATCGTTTTTCGCGTTCGGCTCGTGGCTGGGCGCACTGAAACACGACGTGGCACTAAGCGAGCCGCTGGCTGCGGCTGTCCGTTCGCTGCCTGCAGCTGGCCGTGCGCTGCTGGCGCCGCTGCCGGCGTCGCAGTCGGCATCTGTTGTATTTCAAAATGCTGCAACGTACGAAAAGCGCCGCGAGATTTGTCGTTTTGATTTTTTAAAAATATATCTCAAATATCTATATATGTGTGTGTGGAGAAGTGCGCATGTAGCCGCAGATACAGATACAGATACAGATACAGCTGCTGATAGAGACACATATATGTATATATAGATATTTGTATGTTGAGTTTATTTATTTAAATTTGTGCGCCGCACAACTGTGGCTGACGCAGACGCCACGAATGTGCCGCATTTAAATATGATTATTATTAATAATTTTTTGCACTGGATATTTGTTTTCCACACTTTTCACGTAAGATACATTTATCTAGCTCCATTTGAAAGGTAAATATAAATAAATATATATATATGTATATAAATATATACCTATATATATATATGTTACATGTACTCACGCATTGTCAGACCGCAGACGGCAGCCATCACATTTGAATATTGCTTTAAAAACTCGGAACATTAAATAAAAAATTCACGCATTAATATTTATGAGCCTGTGAGAGGGCGCTTCACTATTGACCCCACGCTCTGCTCTAGGGTTCACTGGAGGAATTTTTTTCTTGCCTTTGGTCTGTTCGGTGTGCCGTAACTTTTGTTGTTTACATTTTGTTATTGTTCATTTGCAAATTGCATTTTCGCTTTTTATTGAAATGCTATGAACAGGATATGCCGCTGCCCATACGAACTGACAGAACTGTGGGCGTGCAAACCAACATGCAATGATAAACTAAAGTGCAGCAATAATCCATATGAAATTATTTTATTATTTGCAGAACCTTTAACTGTAGACTGTGCTGCTATTGGCACTGTTTATATTTTGATTGTCGAACATTTATGTAGCCTGAAGTTAAGAAATCGATAAGAATAATAATGTTGAATATTCGGTTTCAAAGTTGAATTATGTTGAATTTTTATTTGGGTTTTGAACTGCACTCACTACATTTTGACATCTCGTACTTTATAAATGTCTGGAAACAAAATTACCATTGAATAATTGAATGAAAAGAGCAACAAATATATAAAAATAATTGTCACAAATATTTAAAATGCGCATTGACTTTTTGCGCAATAAAATTAAGTAAATGGAATCTTTAGTATTTTTCGCTAAAAATTAAACTTTTGCCAATATGTTCTGGCCTAAAAAACACACTTGAAATTAATTAAAAAAAATATTTTCTTAAAATATGTTTAACGATGATCTGAGGTTAGACAATGTTCGAGGCTCTTCACACATTCACACTATTCAAATATATTTTTTACTATTTTGCAAAGTACAAAAGTTTCCAAACTAAATGTTAAATTTTGACATGTTAATTTTACAAATTAATAATTTATAAAATGAAAATATATTATTTAATAATAATATAATATATATATAATATATCGTAAACTAATAATTATTTAAATTAATATATTATAAACATATAAGTTATTTTTAATACTCTGGCTATATATTAGTAGTTGATTAATTTATAATTTTTTTTTAATTTCCCTAATTGATCTTTTTATGTTTCAATAATGTTTTCAATTTGCATTATTGTTTAGCCTTTGTTTTTATTGCTCCGCTGCTCAGTTTTATGACTTCCTCCTACTTCATAAAAACATTAGGCAAAAGAATGCGCAATAATATTCGATATATACATAAGAAATAGAAATATATTATAGAAGTACATATATACTAGGTACAGCGTCTTGCTAATGTTTGTATGAATATATATTTGCTTAATTTATGTATATTTTTTATAACATTTGTTTGTGCAACGTGTTGTTGTCGCTGCTTTCCGTGCTGTGTGCGCTGTCTGTCAAGTTAGCAACATTGTTTTTCTGCCTCTATATACCCTCTGTCTCTCTCTCTCTCTCTCTCTCTCTCTCTCTCTCTCTCTCTCTCTCTCTGTTTCTCTTCCTCTTCTTTTCGCTAGCTTTTTTTCTCATTCTCCATCTCCATTTCTCTCTGTCCGTATTTGTGTGTGATTGTGTATGATGCATTTTAAAATAGCTCGTCTAATGGCTAAAATTGTTTTTAGAAAACGGTTTTAACATTTTTTTCTTTGGCGCGACGACACTTTGTGAAATGCTGAAATTGATTTATGAATCGCGCGCAGTGCCAGTATCAACGGAACATGAAACGCAACAAACTAACCGTAGACCCATCAATCAGCGCTGGCCAAGTATTAATTGTTAATAAGTTTAGTTATTTCAATATTGTCAATTACACTTAGCACATATGCCAGAAATTGTTACTAAAATGACAGGGTTTTAAAAATTGTATCGCTAATAAAAAAATTCCGTTAGAATGCCACCAAAGAAGAAAGGCAAAGTCGTTGATTGGGCCGCTGATGAGTTCTTCTCTAAGGATCGCAGTATATTCCACATAGAGCACACCACCGAATGCCCGATATTCCAGGCCAAGGCAGACGAATGTCTTACCTTCTTTCAGCAGCGCATTCCTGAGCGCGAGTTTCAGCTGGTGCGCAACAAGAATGGCAAACAGGCGCCCCGGGATGGGGCGTTCGAGGTAAAATTTAGCCAAAATGCTCGCACCTCCGAGCACATGTTGTGGTCCGGCTTAACCAAAGGACCGCCGCGACGCGACAAATTTCCGATCTTCGAGAACCTGGTACTGGATGTGCAGCGCATTCTTAGAAAATTCTATGCGGAAAAGGTGGCAGACCTCGATGACGAAGACATGGATATGTAACTAGCACTGAGTGAATTTCTGATATTTCGTTTGACATCGTATTAACATAACAAAGCAGCAAAAAATAAAGCCAATATACCCTATTGTCAAAAGATAACACGTAATCCATACACACACAAGCACATATGCCGAGGTCTTTTTGAAAAGTCTTTAACACGCCGAATTCAGATGATTGGCACACATCGTGTTACCATTCCTATACTCTTTAGCATTTTAAAATGAGGTAGACTAAACTTGATTCGCACCATTTATGAATCTAGCCATCAGTCAAAATGTATTTCAAATGTGCTATAATACTGCTGCCGTTCAGAAAACTGAAACTGCGCAGCTTAGATCTAAATGAATGATAGATGTCAACTAAATGCCTTGCAACAATATAGAGTATTTAAAAATCGGGCATAATTTTATATTTTATTATCATTGTTATTACCTGGCAGGTGCCATCTTGTCGTCGCATTTTGACAGCTTAAAACGCTAAATGTAAGCAAGATAATTAACACATATCTACATATACACACCCTCACATACTATGTAAAAGGAAAATAATACAATTGTTAAAAGTGTGCCGCATTGTCGTCCCATTGTCTGGGGCTGCTATTCGACCCCTCAGTTGACTACACAAATAGCCAAATGCAATTTGAATATAAACTACAAACGTCACAGCAAAAAAAAATAACAATCAATGCAAACAATTTGATTTGATAACAAAATGGCAAGCAAAAAACTAACCCAAATCTATAACAAATAAATTAGAAAATTGCATCACACGATCCAACAATGGCAACCAAAACGAGAAGCTGTAGCTGAATATTGTGCAGCTATTAAATATGTTTGTAATTTAGTTAGTATACATGTAGTTGGCATATAACATTTGATTATTTTTTATGTTCTATTAAAGGAATTTCTTTCGCTTTCTTCACTTTTCTCTCCCTCAATTTCTCTGAGCGAGAAAGAAGTAACAGACGCTTCATATTTACCCAAACAACATTGCCAGGTGAAAGCAATTTTTAAGAGCTGTAGCTAAATAAAAGTTGTGAAGATCTTTTTCCTCGTCAAGTTTACATATGTTCTCTTGCACTTGAGTCTCGTCTTTTCCCACAATATGTCACCATCTTCAGTGGCAACGTCGTCTGATCCAGTCGATTTTACTATGGTTAGCATGTACTTTGCGCATCCACAACTGTTTCATTTTGTGCCATTGTTTGCCGCTAGGGGGCGTTATGGAAAGGCCAGCAAGCCATAAAAATCCAATGCTCATAGCCGAACCAAATTACAATGTTGCAACAAGACGAACAACAACAACAATGTTCAGATGCCAGCCACTGTTTGCATGCAGCATAGCGGGCCAAAATGCCAGAGAGTATGTGGGGGTAGTTGGTTGTGTGGGTGGGTTGGCTGCGCATGGCCGTGGCCCAAAGGGTTTTGTGTGCCATTTGTGCCGGCAACATTTTAACAATAAAATTTGCAGCACAAGTTGCATGCAACGTAAAGTTGACATTGCTACCGAGTAGAAGCCCGCCAGCCGCAACTACAACTACAACTTCAGCTACAGCTACAAGAGCAGCTGCCATAAAAACAACTAAAATAATAACAGCAAGAGCTACATGAGTTGCGAAGTGTTGGTTGACCCGCTGCTGATTGTGATGTGGATGTTTTCGGGGTGTCACTTGCCGGATCAGCATGCAAATTAGGCTGCCGGCTGCCGACTGCCGGGTGGCTCTGGCGGATGATGGCTGGCAAGTGCAGATGGCTTTTTGATTGGCTGTCATGGCAGTTGGCAGTTGGCTGTCGACGGCCGACTACCGACTACCAACTACCGACTGCCGGCTCTCGGCTGTGCCAAATTTGGCCAAAACAACGGGCTAATTTAAATAGGCGTATCTATAGCACATAAATACGTCAGCTTGCGGAAAGCAGCTAAAAGCCAAAGGTCGCACTTCGCCACAGCAAATTGGCAAAGTTTTTCGCCCTGGTCTGCTCTTGGCCCGGTCAAGCTAAGCTGCTAATCAGCCATAGCCAAATCGACTTCAGAAACTTTCAAAATCAAATTCGAACAAATGCCAAAGAATGCAAACACATTTAGCAAGATGCGTGGGGACTGGAACAGACAAGAGCGTCGCACATCATTAATATTAATAAAGGCTGTAAATAAAATGCCAGCGCAGCCAGCCAAAAATAACAAGCAGCCGCATATTTCAGCCAAAAGGAAAGTAAATGAGAGCACAACTGCCACACAGTAGAACAGCAAATACGAAACAGTTGCTAAAATAAAATTACAAAATTCGAGCTACGGGAAGGCGAACGAAGCTTAATTAGCAATTATCTAAAAGTAAATTGATTTAAAATAATTAATTACAATTTATATAAGTAAAAAGAGCTCCGTGGTATTAACTATATTTTTTAATAATTATTTTTATAATTATTTCAATCAGAAATAAATTTTATTAAAAATACTTTTAAATCGTAAATTTATTTTGAAACTTTGTAATTTAAACAAATATTTCATAAAATTATTTGTATGTAAATCTCAATAAATTCTATTAAAATATTTTACAATTTAATGATTTAAAATATTTGACTCCATTCTAAATGCTTTTGATGCACTGTGCGACGATGTAGCTGCTAAGGCCACTGTCGCTTATGTTTTTTACAGATTGAGATACTTCGGTGACTGTTCGAAGACGTAAAAAAGAACAGAACAAAGAACCCAAAAATAATACAAGATACCAACGCATGATTTCAACATATTTAATGCGGCAGGCCCACAAAGAGATGTCAGCGCTCTGCTGCCCACGGCTTGCAATTTATTTGTATCTTGCAGATGCGGGCGCTTTAATGTGGCCAGCGCGAGCGGCGAACGGAACATAAAATTCTGGGAGCAACAAAAAAAATGGGTTAACGTCCAGTGCACGCACCGGCCCTGGATCTGGCTCAAGTGGCAACAGCGACAGCGTCGGCGATGGTGATGGCGACGGCGACGGCGACTGCATGTGTCAACTGTCACGCGCGAATCGAAGGCGAAATTTTTGCACAGTGCGTTGAGCCAAGGACGTGGCAGGATCTTTGCCAAAAGCGGCATCAGCGTGCAAGTTCCAAGGCACGAAAGTTCGTGTGGAAACAGACCGCAACATTTTGCATTAGTTCGTTTTCAGCGGCGCAAAATTTATTTTTAGCGTGCATCGATTCGGGTTGGAGGCAGCTCCAACTGAAACTACAAGTAAAACGGAGCACGTTTCTTTTTTTCTTTTTTCGGTATCTTGCCTTTGCCAAGAAATAATTTGTTTGGCAATTTCATCTGAGCCTGTAAAAAGATGGCTGAGAAATCGAATTTGCGTATACATATATATCTTTATGACTATATGTAATGGTCGATGGCTCTGTCCTCAGTTAAGCAAATGCAAAAAGAGCACTTCTGTATAAAGTATTTACTAAGAAATTTCTTTAAATATATAAAAATACATTTAAATATTACTCATTTTACTTTTACATGAATATATATATATAGAAATTTATTATTAATAATTTAACTTACATCTGAATCAATACTGGGAAGCCTTCATCTTTTAAATTCATGAAAATTGCTCAGAAGTTTATTATATAAAATTTATACAGATATATCGGGTTTTTTTTTTAGATTTACGCCAACTTAAGTCGTATTCAAAGAAAGATATATATTTTTAAAATGAGACAATTCAGCTTTTTACGTATTCAATAAATTTAGGCTTCAATTCAATCAAATATTCAATCAAAAATAAGCTCCAAAATTATATGGACGAAGTGCACAATAAATAAGCTTGAAGAACAGAACTATAATTTTGAAAAATATTTATAGAAATTGCAACCATTGGCCTGGTCTAAGTCTTTCCATAATGAATTGTCAAACTAAGCTCCTTAAAAAACAAATATCTGCTCTTGTCAAATTGAAAGTTGTAAGCCTTTAAAAAGAACACGAAATATATCTCAATCTATATATACTTAAATGCTTTTTACTTAAAATAATTTTTTTTGTTGAATAACGTGTAAAGTTATAAATGCAGAAATACAAAATCTGATATTAACATAAACAATCTGTCGTAAATCTGCAAATTTACACGCAAAGTACAAACCTGTTCGACTACGGCTAATGAACATGCGCCTACGACAGTAAAGGTAAATAGGCCTAGGCGTAATGACACAATTCATAGGCATTCTCACAGAGCCTGGTGGGTGCAATGGAATGTAAAGCGAGCGGCAGCAGTAGAAATGTCAACAGATGCCATTTTGGGGCTTGGCATTTGTTTTAATGCAAGTGTAGGCCAAGCCAAATCCCTTTAATTAACTGCCCTTTTGATTTTCCACTTAACTGCAACTTGTCACAATTTAATTAACTTGCATTCCGCATTGTAACCGGGGGGGTTTTTAAAACTGGTTTCATATTGAGCACTTGGTAAAGGTCAGACAGAGTTTCGGGGCACGTGGGAGCCGACGTTCGCCTGCCATACAGGTAGCTAGGAATACATGTTGCGGGACACGGTCGAACACGATATGAGCTCTTGCGGAGGATGAACTTTACCCTATGCCGCAGTGCAGGCTAAACGAAGTTCCCCCTCTATATATATATATATATTCTCTTTGTTTTTTTTTTTATTTACTTGCACATCATAAAGCATAAAAATGATGTTCCCAACTCCCACTCAACTGGCAATGATTTCTGGGAAAATGCGACTAGGCAGCCTAGCAGCATTTAGATAAACATAGAGGAAGCCAATAAACAACAAAAAGGCAGGCAATTAAACGTAAATAATCCGGAAGGCTATTGGGTAGGACGGGGCTATGGTAGCGCGAAATAAAATAAATTTTCGTGTATACTCCGGGGTGCAATGGGGCACCGACACCACATGGCTATTATGCCTTGCACTGGGCACCAGAAGTTGACTTAAGACACACCCACAGCCCACGCGCGTCCAAGCCCACATTTACTAGCTGGCCTTTTTCGCATGAAATTAGTTTTTGGTCAGCGCTAATTAAAATTTATGATACCTGTTTATTTACAAAATATTTACGCGAATTCCCAAAGAGCCAAACCAGAAGCCGTTACTGTTTTTGTTTGGCCAATCGGTCAAGG